ACTCAGTCACAAGTCACTCCCCCCCCCCCACCAAGCCATACCCACAGAACCGGTAGAGAAAAAATTTAGATTTCACCCCTGAGATATAGCCATTACTATGTTCTTACGTGAAACTCTAATTAATCTCTGGATTTTATGTGCCATATTTATTGAAGTATCTATATGGCAAATGTTAGGAAAGATATGCAATATGGGCAATATTTTCATACTATTAGCATATTACCATATTTAATAATAGTTAAACAATCATATACCCTCACATCCTACTGTGCTGTCTCATCATAGCAGGGCAGGTAGGTATTCCTGAAAAGAATAAGTGAAAAATTCTAGGAGTTTACACCAAGATGATTCTAGTTGTCCAGCTAAAGCAAACAGGAAGCTATATCAAGCAGCAGCAACATAAGAAGATGCTGGGGTTGGATTATTATTTCAGCGAATTCTCTGATCTGCTATGAGATTTTTATTTTGTTGGGGTTTTTATTGGCTGCTTTTAGGATTTTTATTGTTATATGTTTTAATTCTGTACGCCGCCCCGAGTCCTACGGGAAGAGGGTGGCATATAAATTTAATAAATAAATAAATATATATATATATATATATATATATATATATATAATAAATAAATAAATAAATAAATAACTTTGATGACAACAGCAAAGGCATCATTTCATATTATGTGGGAGAAGGCAAATAGTAAGCCACTCCTGTATTTTAACAAAGTCACAGAGATAAGTTAAAGTAACTGATGATATAGTACTGGCTGCTGGGTCTCTCAGGCTGATGGCACTCAACATGCTTCTGAGGAATTGCTGAGGATCTTTCAGAGTACTAATAGTTTTTAGGATGTGGTTAGATGAAAACCTTCTGGATGTCTAGTTCAAGATATTACCATGCAGGAAAAGAAAATCCAAAACTGCAAGCACAGTTTTATAGTGGGAACTATATTACATTGTTTAGTGGTCAGGTCATGAAAAACAAAAAATCATGTTGCTTTCATATTAGGAAAGATTTACTGTAACAAAAACAGTGCTTAGGTACAGGACATTCAGTGACCAGATAACATCAATTAGATTTTGCAGACAACACTTTTCATATGAAGATTATCTACCACTGATGCAGAAGAAAAGGAGGTTGATTAGTTTTATGGTCAAGGGCAATCTGAAATCAACAGAACATGTGATTGGAACCTGGAATGTCAAAGTTGGAAATGGTCAGAAGGAAAATGTAGTTGGACTATATGGCCTAGGAAATAGAAAAGAAGCAAAAGAAAGCCATTCTTTTCTGTCATCCAATAACTTCTTCATTGCTAACACAGTCTTCAAAACAACTAAAATGATGCCTACATTGCCAGAGTACGCATAAATCAAATCAACTATATCACGAACTGTTTTTATGCAGGTTCCAAATCTAGCTAGAACCAGCCCATTTTTATACTACAACATTGATCATATACCCAGCATTTTCAAGGAGAACATAAGAAATTACTTTGAAGTCCTAAACCTCATTGCTAGGAAACCAAAGGAACTGTGGAGTGAAATAAAGAAGTTGTTAAGGATGAGTATGAAAAGAGACCAAGAAACAGAAGAAAGCAACCTAAATGCTAAAACAAATAGTGAAAATTGACAAGAAGAGAAGCTGAAGCAGACGAAAATATGGGAAAGAATTTAACAAAGAATTTCAGAGATCAAATAGAAGAGACAAGAAACAGAATTAAAAAAAACATCTGTAAACATTGAGAATAGAAGTGTTCTATCTGTCTGCCTGTCTAATTTGTTGCCCATCTCACAGTTCAGATCTCTCTGAGTGACTTACATAAAGTTGACACAGAAAAGCAAGAAAGCACTTCCAAAAGATCTCCCAACAGAGAAGGAGTTTTCAACATTGAATGAGCATGTCTAGTGGAAAACTATGGCAATTAATGGAATATTGGTATCAGATCTGGGAAAAAAAACAGTGCTAAAATTGGAAGAGGTTAGTATACATACTAGTACCAAAGTAAGGAAGCTTAACCAAATGTCCGTTCTATCATCCAATATCCTTATTTCGCATGCTAGCACCAAAAAAAAAAAAAAAAAGCTCAGGATAATCCAATGAAGATTAGAGCCCTACATGGAAAGGGAGATGTCTGATGTTCCAAATTACTTTAGTAAAGTCCAAAAAGAACAAGCACATCTTTGCTGATAAATGTTAGTAACTATCATTACTAGTGATACTGTGGAAAAAGCCACAGGATGCTTATGTAGGATGTCTTTAGGAAAATGAATCTCTCAGAACATCTAATACTAAAAAATCTTAAAAATCTATATACAGTTCAGGTAACCACAATCCAGACAGAAGATGATAAAATATAGTAAATCCAGATTGGCAAAGGAAAGAGACATGGTTTATTTATTCAGTTTATGTGTTGAAAATATATTGAGAGGAAACTGGACTGGAAGAAGATATAGTTTTAAAATTGGAGGAAGAAACAGCAATGACTTTTACAGTTGATTATATTAGCATGCTGTTTGAAAATGCAGATGATCTGGAAGCTGTAATAATGCAAGTCAAGGAGCACTTTGAAAAAATTGGATTATAATTAAATATGAAGAAAACTGAACTGATGACAGCAGTTATAGCAACCAATTCTAGAACTGTCAATTGAAGATATTGAAATACTGAATAATTTCTGTTTTTTAGGATTAACTATCAATAACAAATTAGCAAAGGAAGCAGCAATCAAGAAGTATGCCCTAAATTAGTATTTGGTAGGATAATGATGAAGGCTTTCAAAAATATATTCAAATGTGATATGTTTCCATCAAAAAATCATGTAGGCAATATTGTATGGAAATTGGACTTCGAAGAAGCAGGGTAGAAAAAGTGCTGATGCTTTTGGTGTGGGAGAAGACTCCCATTGGATACCCAAAAAATCAAACAAATGAGTTATAGAATAAATCAATTCAGAGTTCTCACCTGAGGTAAACATGACCAGGGTCAAATTATCATATTTTGGACATATCTTGCAAAGATTCAGATCCCCTGAGAAGTCCTAATGCTGAAAAAAAAATGGAACAAAAAAGAGGATAACTAGCAGCAAAGTTAATGGATTCAAGTATACTGTAGTGGTGATGGGTTCACCACTGGAAGATTTGGCAGGCCAGATTAGGCTCATCCTGAAAGGGCCTATCTGTGATTAAGAGTTGACAATGACTTGATGGTAATCAAAAAGAAACATGTAACTTGGTTTTGGCACCAGTCTTGCAATTTGGAATTACCTCGAACTTTTACCACAGATGATAATAGTAGTCCACTTTTGAATATCCTTCCTCATCATATTTCCTAATACTAATTTTTATTTAGTTAACTTTTGTAATTTTGAAAAGTTTCTAAAATAGTTATAATACTTAAATTAGAGTGGGTATAACCCTATGACAATTTTAAATGTATTTTAATTAATTTCTGCACAAATCCCTACAATGTCTGTCTGCTCCTAATTTATTGTTGAACTGCTACCCACTGCCAATATTTTGAAAGGTGCACAGCCGAGCAAGTCTCTCAGAGAGTCCAGTATTGGCTTTTGAATTGAATAGGTATTTGATCATTGGGCACTGCAAGAACAGGCTTTCAGAAAATCAGTAGCATCAGTCCAATATTGATAAATGAGATTAATAGATCTATTCTGAACTATAACAATAAATGATTTTGTAGCTATTGCTAAGGCATTAAATCAGTGGTATTAACATGCTTTATCCTCCCATATGCATCGGATCTAAATGGTACAATACTGGTGTAGGGAAATAACTATACTCATGTTATGACAAGAATATTCATGAAAATTTCAATTTGAGGAATGTTTATAGCCCCGCTTCTTTGCTCTCCAAGGACTTGACACATCACATCATAGCAAACCTGTATACAATGCTTTATTGCAACACATACCTTCCCCAACAACAGGCTCTGGGTCAACAACAGGTTCTGGGTCAACTCCACCCTTCTAGGACTTGCAAGGTGATGTAGGTAAAAGGTAAAGGTTTCTGTCTAATTATCATATAGGTGATAATGAAAATGCTGATTTAAATGGAATGTAGATTACAATATTCTAGTTATTAAGAAATGTATCATTTACATTAATCAGCTTTGTGCTAAACAGTTGTATTAAATATAAAGTTTCTATGTGTCAAAGGTATATTTACTAAAGGACCATGCATATTAAAGAATTACAAGAATTATCTTGCAAACAGATGTGAGAGAAAGGGAGTTCTAGTTCTTAATATCAGAATCAAACTTCGTATATTCCTGTGTAGAAATTGGATCTGAAAATAGATTTTAGAGCTAAGCTAGAGATACTAGAAATTGCAAGCACTTTAAAGTTACTTATTGGCCTGATGTCAGTTCTTTTGCCTGGAAAGAATACACAAACATACATTTAGCACTTAGCATTTATAGCTTGAGTTAAGTGCTTGGCTTATTAGCCATTCACTTGTTGATAGAACACCAAATAATGCACATCCAGTGCTCATGGATTTTTTAAATTCATATTTTAGCCACAATTTTATTATTATTTAAGTTTGAGATTAGAACAATTCCATTAACACAGAGTTGCCTTAAGAATGGCAGCAAACAAATTTAATAATATAATGTAATAATAAAAACATAAACCACCATATAATATATTTAAAGCATTTGAATGGCAAGTATTTTTCTTTTACATTGCAGTGTTGATTTACTTCATGGCTTATTAAGAAATCAGGACAATTTATTATATCCAACACTTGATATATAGTACTGATTAAAATTAGTCAATGTATGTAGGTAGCAGTTTGCAGATTAAGAGAATTCTCCATTTGTTATCCAAGTTAAGAAATAAACATTTTGAATATAGTATGTGGGATTTGATATCTTTTAGGGATGAATTATTAGAATGTTAACATTAATGAAATCTTACATTAGAATTATGATATATGTGATTAAAAGTATTGTTGTCTTGGTTTTCTTTCTTCTATAATTTCTTTTTTTAGAAAGTAAATCAAAAGGTCTTCAGTGGGTGATAGATACAACTATTGCATATCCCAAAGCTGAGCCCATAGACATTCAGACATGGATTCTTGGCTACAGGCGGCCAACAATTACTCATGTACATTACAGGTATGAAATGCACTTTTTGTCTTCAATTCATTTTAACAGGCCTGGATTTGAAATTTTCCTAATGTGACATCTCAGAACATACAATTCTGTAGAAGTATAAGCAGCTTTATAGTTAGCATTTTACCTTTTGAGCATGCAATTTTGCATTTGGAAATGCTGGAAAGTATATTTTAAATCGTGGTTGCTATAAGTTACAGTTCCAAGTCCAAACTAGTGAGCTTGAGGAAGAAGCCCCTCCTTATATAAATGTATATATGATTAGGCTTTAGCATATGTAGTAAACATATTTAAGATATCTGTGATAAGCTTACAAACACAAAAAGAAAACTTCCTAAGAGTTAAATAAGTATTAAACAAGAATAAAACAAAAGGAGACCCCAAACAGGTTAAAACCCTGCCTGGAACAGCTCTTTCTGCCACTTTTTCTTGCATATTTTAACATTTATTGCAACAGCAACAAAGTTCATGAGGATGGTAAATCAAATCTCCTTAACCAAAATGAACTGCCAATAATAACTTGCTAACAACTCAGCTAAACAACTTGAAATACCATGAGAATAATTACTTTTGTAAGAAAAGAAAAAAATATTATTTGTGTTTCTAGGTGTATCGTTTTTTCAGCTTTGTCGCTGCTAATTTAAAAATATGGGGAGAATATGGAACATAGTGAATTTCTTTATTTTCCTTAAATTTGTTTTCAATGCTGCCAGTTTCTGCAACTTACAAAACAGTAATTTAAAAATAGGGTGTTTAGCACTTGCACTTAACATTAAATAATAGTTTTCTTCTTCCTGATCTCTTGTAAAATACAGGATTGCATGTTCCATCACTCTTCTGCCAACAATTGTAATGGTTGGTGTGAAATCAAGTGCAGGACCCGAAGTGTTTTATTAAACAGCACATACTGGTGGGACACTCATATTTATACCTTTAAAAGGTGGGAGAGACTAATGCATAAATAACAGATACTAATCTAAGTAGTAGGTAAAGGACCTCAAGTTACTGTAAGCAAATGAGCTCAGGTTACTAAACAATAAGGTGATAAAACAGGAAGGAAAACATCTCCCATAACCCAAGAGGAGGGGGCATTTCATGGGAATGCAAGTCACCACACAAAAAATTACCCATTGTAATTTTGGCCTTATATCTCTATATAGCAACTTGATTTAATTAATTCCACTCATCTAAGAACTGATTTTCCCCATGTGGGAATAATGTGAATTATAGTTCAACAGTTTTGGAGAGTACCAAATTGTGGAAGATTTTCATAGTGCTACCTATATGAGCTGGAAGGAATCACCGCTGCACTTGAGACTTCTGCTTTTTCCCATGCATCCAGAAGGGCTCTGCTAGCATTTAGTTTCACTTTTGCTTTTATAGTATGCTGTGCAGATTCTTATAAAATCAATTAACCCTATTTTAGAACACAATTTCAAACAAGTATGTTTCAACAGTGGGCAGACGTGATAAACAATAGTAAGAATAAGCTAGGATTCTATAAAATGAAATTAAGTGATAGAAAAAGCCATTCTTCCCCATAAGATTGGAGGAGAGGAAGCAGGTCCAAAGCTTTTGTGCAGTTTATGCATTTTATGAAGTTTATGTAATGCTAAATCATGATATAATATATTGTAACATATGTCTGTTATTTGTGAGAAATCTTGCTGAATACTTAAAAGTTCTACATGATGGAAAACAGCAAATGTTCCTGCCATTAAAAATGGGAAAAATAACGTATTATGGAATTATTCTGCAGTCAGACTCACATTAAATCTTTGAATCATTTAAAGCAGATTATAAACTATTAAATAAGAAAAAACCTCCAAACAATGCTGTGATTAATTGAAGTCAACCTTGATTTATCAAGAATAAGTCTTATCAGACCAGATATTCTGAACAGGCTTTCTTTTGTTAGTGCTATGGACTTCAATAAAGCATTTAACTTAATAATTATATATTTATTATAATAAAGGTGATGTGTGTGTGTGTATGTATGTATGTGTATCCATCCTGCCTTTATAGTTTCCGTGTTATCCTGATTAGCAAGCTGATTAAATATAGAGTGGTGGCACATCGATTAAACTGACTTGAAAATTCAGTCAGTGCTCATCACCAAGTTCTTTATCAACTTGTTTATCTCACTGACCACCTTCTCTAAATTGAATTTTCCTGTCCAGTGAAAAGTGGGAGAGAAGGCCTGCTGAGACTCCCACCAACAAGGAGATGCATCTTTCAGGGATTTTATAGAACTCTTCTTAGAAATAGACCCCCTCCTTTGGAGCAATTTTTTCCTAGATATTCAGTTATCCCCTCCCTCCCCTCAATATACACTGTTTTCAGAGACCTATAAAATCATGGTTCCTCAGATTGAGATGAATAAGATTATGTAACCCAAAATGGTGTTGTATTGGTTTGATTGATTTTTATTCTTTATTTTCATATATTCATTCTTTAAGCTGCTTGAGTCTCTGGAAATAAATTGGGGGTAAACTCCAGATGGTATTACAGCATTCATTTTTGGTCACATACTGTTTAACACATTCTTTAATAGTTTGAACTGGGCATAACTTAATGTTCTAGAAAATTGCAGCAGCATTCAAAATTACGTTGGCTAGCTAAGGCAAGAGATGTGGACTGAAAATAACCAATAAAATTTAATAGGAACCAGTTCAAATTTCTTAAAAATAAATCAAATGGAAAGATATCAAATATATATCTGGCTTAGTAACAATATATGTGAATAGAATAGAATGAATAGAATAGAATTTTTATTGGCCAAGTGTGATTGAACACACAAGGAATTTATCATGGTGCATATGCTCTCAGTGTACATAAAATAAAAGATACGTTCATCAAGAATCATAAGGTACAACACTTAATGATAATCCTAGGTTACAAATAAGCAATCAGGAAACAATTTCAATATAAATCGTAAGGATACCAACAACAAGGTTACAGTCATACAGTCATAAGTGGGAGGAGATGGGTGATGGGAATGATGAGAAGATGAGAAGATAAATAGTGCAGACTTAGTAAATAGTCCGACAGTGTTGAGGGAATTATTTGTTTAGCAGAGTGATGGCATTCGGGAAAAAATTGTTCTTGTGTCTAGTTGTTCTGGTGTGCAGTTCTCTATAGCGTCATTTTGAGGGTAGGAGTTGAAACAGGTTATGTCCAGGATGTGAGGGGTCTGTAAATATTTTCACAGCCCTGTTTTTGACTTGTGCAGTATACAGGTCCTCAATGGAAGGCAGATTGGTAGCAATTGTTTTTTCTGTAGTTCTAATTATCCTCTGAAGTCTGTGTCTGTCTTGTTGGGTTGCAGAACCAGAGAGTTATAGAGGTGCAGATGACAGACTCAATAATTCGTCTGTAGAACTGTATCAGCAGCTCCTTGGGCAGTTTGAGCTTTCTGAGTTGGTGCAGAAAGAACATTCTTTGTTGTGCTTTTTTGATGATGTTTTTGATGTTAGCTGTCCATTTTAGATCTTGCGATATCGTAGAACCTAGAAATTTGAAGGTCTCTACTGTTGATACTGTGTTGTCTAGTATTGTGAAAGGTGGAAGTATGGAAGGGTTTCTCCTAAAGTCTATCACCATTTCTACGGTTTTGAGTGTGTTCAGTTCCAGATTGTTCCAGTCGCACCATGAGGCTAGTTGTTCAACCTCCCGTCTGTATGCGGATTCATCATTGTCTCGAATGACACCAATCAATGTTGTGTCATCTGCGAACTTCAGTAGTTTAACAGATGGATTGTTAGAGATGCAGCAGTCATTGGTATACAGAGAGAAGAGAAGTGTGGAGAGCACACAGCCTTGGAGGGCCCCTGTGCTAATTGTACAGGTATCTGATGTGATTCTGCTTAGCTTCACCTGCTGCTTCCTGCTTGTTAGGAAACTTATGATCCACTTACAAGTGTGTTCAGGTATCTGTAGCTGGTTTAGTGTAGTTAGAATAGGATCTTGAAATCGTAGTTAATCAAAACTTATCATGACTGTGTAGTACCAGCCATTAAAAAAATAAATAAATGGAGCTTACAGTATTTGAAATACAGTCATTAGGTATATTGTGTTTTATTATATGTGGTCCCAGTGTGACACCTGTAGATAAATACTGAGGTGGACCCTTAGTTGTCTCCCGGCTCCATGTCCCTGTTTGTAGCGGAGTGCAGAGATAGTTTTGTCAAGGTTGTGTAAGAGCTGTTAGGAAAGCCATTAAGAATCAGTAAACTACTGAGTCCTGGGAAAGGAGGAAGTATGAGAAAGAGACTTAAAATAATTCCACTTTGATTCTTTTTGGTGTAATGGGAAAAAAGGAAGCAAGTTTTCAGGATTTGATTATTATACCCTACAAGAGAGGGTTCCAAAGTTTCTCAGTTCACAGTGCCCTTAAAGGTTCTTAAACCGTGTACTGCAGTGTTCCTGGCATAGCAGCAAACTCACAGTTGTGTTTATTAAGTAGCAAAATATGATGCTATATTATGAGTAAACATGCAACCTTTGTTATTTGCTCAATGAACAAAACACTCTCTATATTAGTTATGTCCCAATTCTATGATCATGTGTTAAAATAATTTCTAACATGAGAATGCTTTTATTGAGATTCCTGTAATGAACAGTACATTGGATTTAATACTGTAGATGAATGGTACCTTCAAATCTATGATTCCAACTGCCCCCCAAAATAGGATACATCTGGAATATAACAGAATGCAATAATGTTTTTCAATAATGTTTTATTCTATAATTTGAACAACTTTTCAGCATAATGAATTGTATCGTAAGTAGAAAGGCTTTAGAGATAAAGAATCATACCAACAAAAAGGACAGTACAAACAGATTCTGATTATGAAAGATGTTTCTGAATGCCTAAGTCTTAGATCACCAGTTCATGCTATTAACAGAAGGCTGGTGCTCAGTAGGCTTGCATAAGAGAAGCCCAGAGGCACTTGCGTTAGAGAGCTTACTAACAAAAGCAGCTACTTCATGACCTTTTAGTATCTTCCTGGCAAGGATGATGAGAATCAGAAATTGGCCGTGAAATGAGTAAAACAGATATGTAGTGGTTCAAATGAACAGGAAATATTTCATTCAGTGAATTAGCTTTCTTGTACTAGGCTAAGGCAATAAATGTTTCTCTGAAGACTATGCTATTATGGTAACATCTAAAAAAAACCTTGGATTTTTATTGCATGGAAGGTTTTTTTCACTCTTAGGTATTTACTTGGCAATAAAGAGGAAATCATTGCTTTGCAGATTGAAGGTTCAATAAACTGATGACAGAAGGAAAAAATATGTTTTACTTGTTTGGATCAAAATGCAGGACCCAAAACAAATAATCAAGGCTTAATGAAGTGCTTATTAAACAACACATGCTAGTGGGACTCCTTCCAAAGAATATTGAAGGAGACCCCACCTGATATAGGGTCTGCCTGCCTGTCAGAAAGACAGGGGGGACTAATACATAAGTAGCAGATGATGTAAACATGCATATTCATAGATAAAGGATCTCAAATTAATATAGGTAATGAATCTCAGGTACTTCCCAGCCTGCTTATCTTCAGGAAACCAAAATGGAGGAGTAAAGCAAAAAGAGACAGGAATAAATCAATAAAAATGAGAGGAAAGCATCAATTTGGGAATGCCAGAGCCAAAAGGAAAACATCTTTCATTTTCAAATCTATGAGAATTGATCTAATAAAATAACATTGTGTTCAAAAGTCAATATTCCTTATCTCTTTGTATGTTAACTTGACTTAGTTGATTCCATTCATCTAAATACTGATTTTCCTAAACTTGCTCATTGTATATAATACTGGAATGAAGTGGTGCTTTCAGGCTGAGAGCGTCTCAGATTTTGAATTTAAATAAAATTAAGTATCTATTCCATCATATCCTATCAAGAAAAGAAAAAGAAAAATGTGATGGGAAACAGAGCAGATCACAAGTAGCAAATGGCATAATTTTTTCATATTTCACCATTACTGAATCATACTAATTGTACAATGTAAGTCACATATGGAAACATTAGGTAGAGATAGTATTGCATATGTTAATTTTTCTTTTATAGTACTTGTCTTCATAGACCGAGCAAATAGAAAATAAAATCAGAGCTAGAATTATCAGGCCTTATATATGTATTACATATTTATATCTGTAAATATTTAATTGCTGATTCTCTTTTTCAGAATCCAGATGAGATATTTAATACAAGATTTAAATTACATTTTTTGTTTACAAAATGTAGAGGTCTCTGAAGGAATAAAATGCAGCTTTTAGTGAAATATAGGCCAGATACTAGAGTTTGAACTGAAAGCCAGAATTAATGTCTATTTTTTAAACCTGAAATTGAAGAATAACTATCATTTGATAATTCAACCGTCCCAATAATTTTAAAAATGTTTCCCTTGAATAATACTAAATATTATAGATTATTGTTAAAAAATAAGCTGGATAAATATTGGAACATGTACTAAATCCTGATAGAGTTCAAAGCAAAAATAAAATTATCTGAAAAAATAAAAATATTTCATATATCTAATTGACTTTTCTGTTTTTTTTTTAAATGCAGAATTTTTCCAATTAAGGATGTACCCAATGATCCTGAAGCACTCACTGTTTGGTTATATCAACGGTTCATTGAAAAGGAGGGTCTTTTGTCACACTTTTACAAGACAGGTACTATGTAAGAATTGTCTGCTTAACACAACACCACGAACAATTTCTTAATCAATGTAGGTGTTGCTGTTCTGTTACACAACTCCTATTTATATTCTCATTTTGTTGGTCCACCACGCAATGGATATGTGTTTGGGTTAGTCTCCTTTCCTGAGATAATATATATTTTTAACATGGACATTAAATATTTCGTACAATAAATCTTTGATGTCCATTAGACTTTTGTTGACACCTAATCATGGAACAAAGAAGAAATCTATAGTAGAAACCACAAGTTATTTCATAGCTTGTAGATTTGTCTAAAAAAGTTCAGGTGGCTAGAAAAATAAGAGTTATTGAAAATTGTCCTGTGCCTCTCCTGTTGCCATAAACTTTTAAAGTTTTAAGAGACAATGTCACTTGTTGAGTGAGTTATTGAACAATGTTATTTTTCAAATAAATGCATATAATACATTAATCTTACATTTAAATACTAGTTCACCACGCTGTTTCATTTCAGAAATGCTGTCATCTTTGCTTCTTTAATTTTAGAAAAATTCAAAGAGAATCTTTTAAACTGTATATATCTAAAGCCCTTCTGTTTAGATTTGATGCAGTGTCTTGCTTTGTGAGCAAAGCAGTCTCTTGATAAGCAAAATTATTGAAGTTACTCTGATTCCTTTGTCTATGTGAGTTCTTTGAAAAGGAAACCCTATTTCAAGGTCGAAGAATTCAGCTCTGATGCTAATCAGAGCTGAAGCTAAACCCCAATGCTTACCCAAACAGAAATTAAACAAAGATACATTCATTTTCCATTGCTTGACTAGGATTTGATAAGAAATCAAAATGTTGGTAAAACTAATTAGACTTAGTGGAATAAACATTACTAAGATATATAAACAATAATTACTCCAGATAGGAAAATGTTTGCAGATGGGAAGCACAACCTCTTCCTAATGTATTGATGATCATAAAAGAGAGCCAGGGTTATATCTGGTGTGCCCTGAGTTCTTGTTAAATCCATGATATAGAGAAAAAAAATTAGAAAGGTAAATTGAACTTGTCACAAAATGGTGTTGTTTTTTTTTCTGTTTCAGGAACATTCCCTCCTCTGCAAGGACAGACTGAAGTTGTTTCCCGAGAGATGACTCTTAGCAATTTGTGGCTAATTCTTGTACAGTTATTTGCATTTTTGTCAGGTGGTATGTGGTACTGCATTCTTCAGTATTTTTATGAATGCCTATTTTAAAAGGTGAATGAATGAGACACAAGGACACAATGAGGAACTTGGGTACTTTACAGAATGCATCATGTTATGTGTTCAAATATGAATATGCCAGTAGAAAGGAGCATACTGGATGGACTTTCTCTCCTTTTGGGGGAGGATTTTAAACTCCGCTAGAAGAAAGGATCGACAATATAGTGACCGAATGATATATTTTAAAAATTATCCATATTTTTAAAAGGGGTGACTTCAGCATACCTATGTCAGCAAATTCAGCATTTTAACAGGAAATGCAGTTATGCAGCCATCACAGGTGAATATCTGTAGCAGAGAATGCTTTTATCACCGGTAGTATTCAACACTGTAGTTAAAACTCCAAATCTTCAGCAACTCTTTCTTCAGTAGTCTGTACTGCAAGTCTTGTGGTAGAGATCCTTCATCTGCACAACTCAAATTGTATTGTAATTAATTATGCTGAATCTGTTTAACATAATTCACAGCCCTGGCTATGGTATTGTGACTGCCCCATGATACCTGTTTAGTAGCTTTTTTCCTTTTTTAAAAAAAAATCTTTTGAATACTATCTGAGAGATCTTGTATTGTAAGACAAGAAAAGGAAAAGTACTGCAAAAAGGCTTGCGGTGTCACGAAGTATTGAAAAAATTGTGCATACCTCATAGACCAATCTATTTTTACCATGTTTTTGTCATTTGAACCTCTTGTGAATATCCTCTTGAAAGGGTGCTTCAGAAATGGAATGTCATTAATCTGTTTCCTGTTGTTATTATAGAATGCATTTTGTCTCCTTCCTTCCTTCCTTCCTTCCTTCCTTCCTTCCTTCCTTCCTTCCTCCTTCCTCCCTCCCTCCCTCCCTCCCTCTTTCTTTCTTTCTTTCTTTCTTTCTTTCTTTCTTTCTTTCTTTCTTTCTTTCTTTCTCAAAATGCACTTTTTAAAAAGTGATAAGAAGCATAGCTAGACAGAAATGTAGATGCTGTTTCTAAGAGCTAGTATTTTGGAGGGCTATTACAGTTCAGAAAGGTCTGGATTTTCAGCATTGAAGTACATGAGTTGCCATAGATTTGGCAAAATGATTTTTTTTTTTTGTTGTTGTAATTTTTAATCTTCAGAGAGGCCTTTATTTTCATGAGTAAAAGAAGCACTGGAAATGTGTGTGGGACAGTTTATGTACATACATGCCAAGCACCTAGATGCTTTGCTTATAGGAAAAATAAGAGGAAGTTAGCTTAATCACCAAACAGAATACCTAGTCATTGAACAACACACAACAAAAAAGAAGATAATCTGCTTTATAAACCAGAGCTGTTGTAAAATTCTCTGAACTGTAAAGGGCATTACTAAATCTGTCATCTTGTTGAAATATGTCACTGTCATAGGGAGTTAAACTGAAGAGGCAGTTTGGCACAGGGTTCCAGGTGATCACATTACAGTTTTATAATAATTTTGAAGAATTCTGTGTTATTATCATTCTTTGAATGCTTGACATCAATACTGTGTGACTGCATCATTATAATACAAAACCATTCCTAGAAACCAGTTTCTAATTTACACATTCAGGCCTGTACACTAATTACCAAATGTTGTCTTTTCTGGACTGTAACTTTTTTTCTAAGAGCAAAGTCAAACCAACAACAATTGTCTGTGCTGAGTTTGAGATATATATTCTTCTGTTTTTGTTCTGTTTTTGTTCCCCCAAATTTCATGAGAACCAGCTTTGGTGAGTAGTATATAAAATAAAAATATAAAACCACATTATATTTATCTTTTGTTTTCAATGGGGTAGAAATACAACCAGAAAAGCAAATTTTATATTATCTATATAAATGCCATAATATGCAAATAATACTAATTTTAAACTAGAATACCTTCTACTATGTATTATGGCAACATCTATAGTTTACTCTAGGATACTGTATATTTTCAACATCATAATTACATGCAGTAGAGAATCAGCTGTGATTATTACAGGTACCCTTTAACTAATTTTTGAAACATGATCCATTTATTACTAATGTAAGAAAAAGAAAGCCTTTAAATTAATTCTTATGAAGTGCAGCATTTTGGGGTATGAGTACTTTTAATTGCACTTGCCTTTTTGTGCTGGTTTTAAGGTGAACAGAAGGTTTCATTTTCCTTTAGCAAAATGGTGTTATAGGTACAGGTTTTCTTTCTATTCATTGGATGGATATGGCTATAATTCAAAATACTCTTTTGTTGATGTGGATACAAACTAATAGTTGTTTAGATGTACATTGCTTGGAGATACATTAGATTAATTTGCTTCTAAAATAATCTGGGCTTAAACAAAATAAGTAGACACTCAAGTTCACTGTTGTTTTTAAACTCTGTCATGAGGAATACAGTCCTTGTCCATTGCAGATATTTCTGATAGAAAAATACTACAAATTCTAAATAATTTAGAATCATTGGCCCCCACGGAGAGGGCGCGCAACTTGGGCGTCCTCCTGGATTCACGGCTGTCTTTAAAAGAGCACTTGACGGCCGTGACCGGGAGGATTTTTCATCAGGTTTGCCTGATCCGCCAGTTGCGTCCCTTTCTGGATCGGGACTCCTTACGCACAATCACTCATGCCCTCGTCACCTCCCGCCTGGACTATTGTAACGCTCTCTACATGGGGCTCCCCTTGAGGAGCACCCGGAGGCTCCAACTGGCGCAGAGTGCGGCCGCGCAAGTGGTAATGGGAGCGACATGCGCGAGCTGCACTGGCTCCTGGTGGTCTTCCGGGTGCGCTTCAAGGTTTTGGTTACCACCTTTAAAGCACTCCATAGCTCAGGACCTGGGTACTTGCGGGACCGCCTACTACCACGAATAGCCTCCCACTGGCCGGTACGCTCCCATAGAGAGGGGCTCCTCCGGGTGCCATCGGCCAAACAATGCCAACTGGCAGCCCCGAGGGGGAGAGCCTTCTTTGTGGGGACACCTACTATCTGGAACGAGCTCCCCCCGGAGATACGGAGGATCCCGGATCTGCGCACCTTCTGCCGCACCTTAAAGACCTTTTTATTTCACCAGGCGGGCCTGGCTTAATTTTCTCCCTCTTTTATAAAAGATTTTTAATTTTTTAATATTTTTTAGTATTTTATATATTCAAATTTTAAAATTGGTTTTAAATTGATTGGGGTTTTAATTTGTCTGGGCCAAAACTATTTAATTTGATTTTAATTCCACTTTTAAATTTTGTATGTATGTATTTTATTGTTTGGCTGTGCACCGTCCTGAGTCCTTCGCGAGTAGGGCGGTATAGAAATCAAATCAAATAAATAAATAAATAAATAAATAAATAAATGGGGGCTTGTTAAAACACAAATTGGTATCACTAGGTGTAATGTAGGTTAACCACTAATTTTAGTTTATTTTCTTTAAGAAGAAGATGATGATGATGATGTGTCCATTCAGTTGTGTCTGACGTTTGGCGATCCTGTGGGCCAGGTCTCTCCACATCTTCCGATTTTGCACTACTTCTTTAATGTGATACATTTATAAAGCATTTATAAGGCATTTATAAGGCATTTATAAAGCACTGGTGGCCCTTTAATTATGAATTATGTTTGTGATTTTGGTAAAATGGTATAATGCTATGTCCCATTAATTTCAAGAGACACTTCCAAATAAGGTGTTCAGTATAAACTGCACTGGACTTTTTATTCTACAGTATTTGCAGTGGAAAACATGAAGAAAGATTATTGTGCCTTCTTCATGGCTGAATCAGAAGAAACTGAAGACAGCAGTTTCAGGAACTCCTCAATAAAAGTATTTCTCTACACAGAATATAAAATGGTTAAATTGTTTATTTGGCAATAATCCATTGGAGTTCAACAGGCCAAATGATCCAATTATAGGAAGGAGTGTGTGTGTGTGTGTGTGTGTGTGTGTGTGTGTATGTGTGTGTGTGTATATACAGTTAATATTTCAGGTTTCTTCCCGTGTAATTGTGAATATATCCCTAAAAGGGTAGAAGCGACGTTTCGACAGAATCTCATCTGCCATCATCAGGCTTATGTGAAGGGTCTTTTGCTGTACTTAGCTGGTAACTAAGTGCAGCTCATATCTGATCTTCTACCTTTTCCCTGCTTGCCTGGGTCACCTGCTGTTCTTGAAACCTTGTGTTGAAATTATATACCTATAAAATTTGTTAATTTCAGATCATAGGAGTAGCACAATATTATTTTTAGGCCAGAAGTGATGAGTTTGACAGTAATAATGCTGACTCCATAGAAAGCAATACAATGTATATATTTCAGAACTCTTTGTGCTTGGTGTTTCAGGTAATCGCTTGGCATGCCCTGTGAATTTTCAGGGTCAAAATGCTGCATTCTCTCCTTTTATACAACTACAAATTGAAATGCCTTTAATAATCTACATTAGAGCAAAGGGAAAGGGAAAGGATTTTTCCTAGCATAAAACAAAATATTAGGGCTGTGCACTTTGGATCTGATGCCAAAAAATGTTTAGAGAGAGATGAATGAAGCCTCATCTGCAACTTAGTAAATCACCCCCCAACACGGCTGCTTTAGAGAGTTACAGAGAAATAGTATAGCACTACATTCCTGCTTCTGTGTTCTCTGAAGCTGCCTTGTGGAATCTAGGGCTAGCTTTAAATGCTTGTATTCTCAGGGGTCAAAACTACTTCACATCCTTTCCTTCCTTAATTAGAACCAGCCAGAAAAGTAGGGACTGCTCCTTGTTTAATTGGTTAATATACATTCTTAATGGTTGGGGATGTTGTTTTTTAAAATTAGGGCTTAAACTTTGTTTAAGGGACTCATTTTGTCCTGATCTTGTGATGAAAATCTGAAATACTGCATATTTTGTTCCAAATTCAGAATTCCAAAATGGCCTTCACATTTTACACATCCTGCTTTGCTGCAGTCTGATATATTGGCTTTTAAATCTTTAGTCTTTTGTCTGCCAATTGGTTGACATGCATGATTCATCTAATCTCTTCAGGAAATTATAATCAAGTAGGTCTCTAATTTCTTTCTGATGTTTCTGAACATGTACTGAAACAACACTCTAGTTTGAGATACTTACATACACATTGAATTTCTGAAATGGTTCCTAGAAAGGGCTGGTTTGGGCTTTTCCGCAGTGGGAACTGGTTGTACTATTTGTCTAGAACAATCTTTCTCAGCCTTGGCAGTTTTAAGAAGGGCGGACTTCAACTCCCAGATCTCTCCAGTCAGGCTGGCTTGGAAATTCTGGGAGTTGAAGTCCATCTATCTTAAAGTTGCCAAAGTTGAGAAACACTGGTCTTAGAAGAGAGATACCACTTTGAATATTTTTTTAGATTTAGAAACAGACATACTGTACAATCAGTTTGATCAAATACATTTGATTCCACAGTAATATACTATATATGCCCTATTCCTATATTCATTGATATAGTTTTATTAAATGCAAGATTAACATTCAGATGGTAGGGCCTGTATAAGTAGGCATGACTGCATTTCAGGACATGATTCTTTGTTTGAGAGAAAGGCTCCTGTCCTGGGAGATCAAATACCACAAAGACATTAACATACACTTATCACATATGTCCTAATAAATATAAACAATGTGTACCAAAGCACCCTTTGTGTGTCTTCACATTCAGGATTTGGTGACTTGGTAGCAAATCATTATGCCTTCATTAACAAGCAACAATTGATATGACCTAATAGTTATTACTGTGCATGTCATATAAATAACACACTTACATTAGGACTCTGCTCCCTAAGGCTTAGGGTCCAGCAACTCGCAATATTCAATAAGATGACTGGATATTCGCCAATTGTTTTTAGTAAATTCTTTGTGTGTTTTCTATGAACAACTCATTGATAGGAATATAGAAAGAAGCCATTGGAATAAGAAAGAAGTGGTCTTTGGCCTATCTAGTCTTTCAAATATTTTCTATTATAACACAGGCCTTTTTCTTATGAGCGACAGAAATTGTAAAGGTGAATCAAACTTACTACAATGGGAGACATTTTTACACGTCCATAAACAGTTCATTGTTTGGAAAGCACAAGTCAAGCTTCCTTGTGAAAGAAATTGTGCAAGTTTTCAATGAACTTTTTCCAACCCAGATTTCACCCAGGTTATACATATATAAGGAAATACTGTAAGAGATAGGATTTTGTCTGGATTTGACTTGCCTCTCTACCAGCTAGTGAGTATGAATAGCTGTATCACATAGCCTTGGCTTGGGAAGTTTGCCAGATGTTGAGTAATGACTACTTTCAGCAGTCCCAACAAGCACTGAAGAATATGGATAGATGTAGCCCAACAGCAACCAGGGCACTGAGTTCTCCACTCAGCATTTTCTATACAGTACAGTAATGGAAACAAAACTTAAGTGTCCTAGATTTTTTTCTTTTATTCTTTTGGTTTTTAAAGTATAGCTGGTTAGTTGCCACAAGATGCTTGGGAATGTGTGGGCAGTGGTGCTGAATCTCAGAAATAACATAGTGTCTGAATAAGATTTTTAACTGTTTAAAGTGAGAATTTAATTCTCTGCTTAAATCCCCCCCTTTTCAATAATTTATCAGAAAGGTCACAAGCTTTCACTGATTACTTACTCAAAATAACATTAAACCATTATTTACATAATTCTTGATTGTACAAGAAGTGCTTAAGAAAACAGGATGCCAAATAAATCCTATACAGGTAGTCCTCAACCTGTGACCACAATTGAGCTAAAATTTCCATTGCTAAACAAGACAGCTGTTAAGTGAGTTTTACTCCCTGTGAT